TTGGAAAAAAATCCTCTTAGTTATTTTAATCGATTGAATCGCATTTTAATCGATTAGAATTCTTCCAAAATATTTCATAAAACTTTCTAAGTTATTTTAACTGATAACATACTTGTTTTAATCGATTAAAACATTCTGGAAAAATCTCTTCGTTGTTTTAATCGATTATTTCGCATTTGTATTAAAATAATGACAGAACAAATTTCAAAACACTTCAAGTTATTTTAATCGATAATTTCGAGTTTGTATCGATTAAAATTCTGCCAGAACACTTTTCAAAATATTCTAAGTCATTTTAATCGATTATTTCAATTCTATATCAGTTAAAATACTGGCAGAAGGTTTTCAAAAACCCTTCTAATGAAAACAATCGATTATTTCGAAAACATATCAGTTAAAAACCTGTTACAAAAGTGTTAAGAACATTTTAACTGATAAGACTCATATAATATCAGTTAAAACAGTTACTTAAAAACCATTTAAAAAAACTTTGTTTTTAACAGTTTAAACACGTTTTAGAGGCATTTGCAAAATCTTTTAAATGAAGAAACCTCATGCAGTAGAGAGATAAGAATGATTATACGTAAGTAAAGATGCAGACTCACTAATCACTCTACCATTTTATCTAAGTGACCTTTGACTGCAACATAGTAGTCTTTGACTTCATCAAATCAACAAGATCTTCGTTTAAATGATTCAATAAGATCTTCATCACTTTCAGAAATTATTTAAAGCCTTATGTTTATTAAATTTAAATGTTGTCTGGTATATTTAATGTTTTTGTTAGCTGTGATAGACAAAATAGGTTATTACAAAGGACTTTAAAGGAAATTTTGATCATCATCAAAAAGGGGGAGATTGTTGAACATACAAGGATATGGATGTTGAACATACAAGGATATGAAGCTTGTAGATTTTGATGATGATACAAGAATAAAGGACTTAAAGATTTGAAGACTTGTAATGTTATCTAATAACTCTGTTTTTATGTTTTTGAGTCTATAATATTAGAGTCCAAAATAGTCAGCACATAGACCACTCTTTAAAAGCTCTAAAAACTCATTTTTATCAAAAAAAACACTGGATTAATCGATTAAATGGCAGGATAATTGATTATTACAGAAATAAAACCATTTTCAACATTTTCTCTCTGGAATAATCGATTAAATGGCTTGTTAATCGATTAACTGGGTTGTTAAACGATTAAATGGCTTGTTAATCGATTAACTAGGTCTGTTTTGGCTCCTCTGCGAGAATGGCTCTGGAATAATCGATTAACACTCAAAATAATCGATTATTTGGGTCTGATATGTATTTTGAAATTCAAAATTGGACCAAGTTTTGAAAACCCTATTCCCAATTCATTCAATTTTGAAAATCCCCAATTCCCAAACCCTAATCTCTCTACTTAAGGTTCTCTAAGGCTCTCTGCAAATTGAACGAACCTTTTTCATACAAAAGTTAAGAGTTGTGACTGCCAGAGAACTGTTTGTAGAAAAAAAAATGGGGCTTTTGAAACCTAGTGTGGGCTAGAAGCGATAAGAATCACTGAGTGTATTTTCTTGGTGGATTGTGTGTTGTGTCACCTCTAGGGAAAGTTGTTCTTCATCCTTTGTGGATTCAAAGAAGGTGTTCATCTCTTGTGTGACTCAAGAGAGGTGTATTCTTTACCTTATCTTTTCATTTGTAATCTGTTTGTATAACTGTGATTATAGTGACAATGTTAATCCTTTGTTTGAGTGATTAGCAACTAGACGTAGGGTCTTTTGATCCGAACCAGTATAAATCGACTGTGTAATCTTCTATCCCTTCTCTATTTACTTTACACAGCATTTTAATCGGTGAAATTTGGGAAAAATTTTAAAACCCTAATTTTTGTTTAAGAAACCAATTCACCCCCCCCCCCTCTTGGTTTTTGTCCATTAACGCAATCATTCCGCTGCTCGATTCTAACAAAAACTTCCACTTCTGAAATTTTTCATCAAGTCCTTGCAAGGAGAAGCATGGAAAGATGCACCAAAATCCATGATCCAAGATTTAAACTTGCTCTCAACACAACATATCAACGCATCATCACTGTCTTCTTCTTCTATTGCATTCATTGTATTGTCATGCCTCTTTTCTCCTTTGACTTTGATCTACCACGTCCAAAGCCTTGCCCTCTTTTAGGCTTTCTACCTTTCCCTTCGGTGCTTAATAAGGAATTTGTTGATTCTTCAGCATTCCTTCTACGAACATCCTTATTAAGGATTAAATCTCTAATTCCTTCAAAGGTTAATTTCATAGCCCCAGATGTACTGGCTACTATCGTGACAGTTCCTGGTCAACTATCGGGCAACGAAGATAATAATAAGAGGGCTTGTACTCCATCATCAAATTTAATATCCACTGACACTAATTTTGACAATAAGAAATTAGATTCATTCACATGATCTGTAACACTAGCACCTTCTTGCATCTTCATATTAACTAATTGACGAATCAAAAATACATCTTTTGACGTTGATGACTTTTCGTACATGTTTGATAATGATTTTATCAAACCATATGTCGTCTTCTCATTGATAATGTTGTAGGCAACATTCTTCGTCAATGTTAATCTAACAACACCCAAATCCTGTCGATCTAATAACTCTCAATCTGCTTTATTCTCAAACAAAGACTAGTACATTTTTTTCTGATAAAGATAATCTTTAATCTGCATCTTCCAAAATCCGAAATTGCTTCTATCGAACTTTTCAATCTTCACTTTCCCGTCTTCAGCCATTGCTCCCACTCGCATGAAAAAAATCTAACCTCTTGATACTAATTGTTGAGAACACAAATGCAATACAAGACGAAAGTAAATAACAAGAACATAAAGAATTTACGTGGTTCAATTAAAGTGACTTATGTCCATGGCTACACTAGATGATAGTTCTTATTCACATAATTAGGTTTACAATTACATGAATATTTATAATAAAAGAATAAATAAATGGGTCAAGCCCAATAATTCTTCACACTCCATATACTTAACACTGAATTCATTCATACAAGCTATAAACTTTCATAACAAAAATATGGCTGCATAATAATTATACTTTAGACTTTCCCAAAATTTACAAACAATAGAAAAATCGACACAACAATAATCATATAATTTTACGTACTACGCTAAATCCTAAACCCATAATGGCCAAATTTAAGTTGTCTAATCTAGAGCTTTTAGCATTTACACACTCTCATTATCCATACATTCCATGATTTAATAAAAAATAAAATAATATATTAGAATTCAAAGTAGATTATATAATATATATATATATATATATATATATATATATATATATATATATATATATATATATAAACTCATATAAAGAATTTTATACTAAAATTGGAAAGTTTGTTTTGTTCATAACTCATGATTAAGATGATTTTTAAGTTAAACCCTAGGTTTTCCTATCTAATAAATCCATTTCTGAACTCATAAGTGTCCAATAAAATTTGTACACAAAATAGAACATCTAGAAAGTTCTAGTTGTAAGTGTTCTTTAGATTAAAACTTATGCTTGCATATCCAGCGAACTCATTTTTAGTATTGGGAATTTAAGAAAAGCAACACATTGATACATTTGAAATAAGGTGGTATCGAAAATACAAAAAATAAAATCAACAAATGAAATATTAGATCTTTGAATCAACTCCCCTTACTTCCATGAAACTCTTAACAAGAAAGTAATTGAAAGAGAAGAACTCTAAATCAAGTTTCCCTCCTAATGATATAAAGATAGCTCTAATATTAGAAAGACATCAAGAAGAGAAAGTGAAATACAAGATAGACATTGCATTAAATATGCTTGAATAAAAGGAAAATAGTCAAGGAAGCAAGGATTTTAAGCAGAAGTTAGAAAAGTGTTTCTTTCTTTGTTAAAGTAAAGTTGATGAATTGGATATGAGAGAGTTAGAGTTTATGTTATTTTCTTGGCTTATGAACAAATAATATTAATAAAAAAAAAAACAATCTAACTTTAATGTTCCTTTGCCACTTGGATGATTGGACTGCGGAGAGCAAAAAAAATCTTCTCTTGCCTTTTGTTCCTATGTTGCCCTTGAGTTTGGAAGGAAAAAAAAAAAAAAAAAAAGTGGCTCAAGGCCATTTGTTTTCTTTGTTTAAAATTGGGATTAACGTGATCGGTATTGACAATTATTTCTATTTACACCCCCTAATTGACCCAAATTTATGTATTTAAAGTTAGTTAGTTGCAAATTTTAATTTTATTCTAGTATTTATTTTTGTCTGTGTTACCTTGATTCTCAATATTCTAAAATTTAGATCTTATAAATATATTAGTGACTAATAATAAGCTATAGAATTTGTGATGAAATTTGATATTAAGATTTTATTCTTATACTTTCACTCTAAATTTATTATAGAGATTTATTTACTTGTTTATATTAAAAAAAATTATAGGGTGTTCAATGAACATAAAATATATAAATATTTTACATAACAAATGACAATTTTAAGTACAAATGTAACCTCTAACTTTGGATATTCAAAAAATGGTTTCATAGTTAAAGAACAAGTTCTTTAATTGGACGAATAGAATCTTGCAATGCAACAATAACATCTATATAAATATCTGATGATGTTACGATGTGGTTCAGAAATAATTGGATGAATAGAATTTTGCAATGCAACAATAACATCTGCATTGTAAAAAAAGACTACCTAAATGAATGGATAAATTATTTTTATGATCTCTATCACATCTATAAAACTTTCAATTAATACAATTTAAAATATGTAGAGTTGCTAAAATCTATTTCCTCTAAAAAAAGTAAGGGTTATATCTAAAGAAACTTTGATACTTAATTAGTACGAGATTATGAAATAATAAGGAAAATGTATTTCAATCTTTATAATAAAATTGAATAATCTTATTCTTATTAATATTATTTTGGATAATGAATAATACCACTTTAATGTGTTATCAGGATATTATATATTTAAGGGGATTAAGGTGAAATTTTTTCATTTGAATAAAAAATAATTAAGGATGTCAAACTAGACTTTGTTCAAATAATAAAGATATGAGAAATAAGTTAGATCAGGTCACATATTAAATAAATTATGGACTAAATTAAAGTAGATTTATTTTGGCTCGATTAGTTTAGATTATAATTTATATCGACTTATGTCAAGCTAGCATGTAGATTCACGGGCTGATCTATTTTATAAAATAATAATAATTTTTAAATGAAAATAATAATAATATTATTTTATGAATATATATATATATATATATATTATAAATTAATTTAAAAAATATTCATTTATTTTAAAAGTAGATATAAGAGGAAATATTTATCATCTACTTGTTACATGATATAATAATTAAAATTAATTATTATTTTAGATGAATAAATCATTAAAAAAAACGATGTTAATAAAAAATCACAATTTTAAAAATCGGATAAGAGGACTGGTTCAATTGGTTTAAGTGGGAATCAATGTAACTTTTTTATTGCTTCTAAATAATCGAATTCTAATTAAACCTGGACAAAATGGGGTTCGAGTGTCTTTTTGGGTCAAACCAGTTTTGATACAAACCAATTTTGATAGAAAAAAATATAAAGATTTTTTTTATAAAAGATATAATATTTTATAGTTTTTTTATTTTATATTAGTTACATTAATTTTAAATAATAGTTATTTTTAGAGTTGTCAAAATTTAATGGGCCAAAATTTGCGTGTTAGCCCATTGACCTTAGTCATATTAGAAAAAAAAATTATAATCCATTTAAAAATATAAACTAAAATTATAATCTATTTAAAAATATAAACTAAATTGAACTAAAACCATCTCTAAAAATAAGTAGATAAAAAATAATATGAATTATAAAAGATCATATTATCAAATATAAATTAGATGTAAACATGAAAAATATCTTAAAATAATGTTAAAAAATCATACAAACAAAATTAAATCAAAAATCAATATCTAATATATTAAATAAGTATTAAAAAAATATAAAGATGTATTTACTTAATCTCTTATTGCACAAATTTTATGTTTTTAGTTCATTTACTTAAATGACCATCCATATTTTATTTTTATATATAGTATGTTTAATCTGGACAGTTTTATAATAAAATAAAATAAAATATTAAAATAAATATACATAAAGATTGAGATGATATTATTTTAATATAAATAAAAATAAATTTGAATTTATGAAAACTATAATTAAATCTTGATATAATTATGTAGTGACAAACCAAGAATTACCCAACAAATTTGAAATCAAATATTGGAATGCATCCCCTCTAGATAGAAATGGAAAGAGAAAGGACCACAAGTTGTAAGAAAAGACTTTGTTAGTGAAGAATCATGTGACAGAATCATGGAACCTTAATTTGCAAGTTGGGATTGGGATACAAATAAAGACCTTAAGGCCACGTACCAAAGACACTTGCCTAGTGAGAATGAAGCAGCACCAACAAACAGTGACCAACAACATCAACACCAACACTAACAAACACCACTTGCCGAATCACCGACCCACCTCACCCCACACCCAAATTGCCATTAGCAAAATTGTCCTTAAAAAGTTCGTAACAATGACCCATTTGGTTCACCTCCATTCAAAACTCATGCTTCTTTTGCAATTAAGGGTATGAAAGGGTACGAAAGAGGGAAGTAGTATTTGTAGTGGACCCATTGGGTGTACACAAATTAAAGTTAACATAGTTAATATTAGATAAAAAACAAAAAAAAATTAATCACATATAAATTATATTTTTAACATTTTATCATACTTATTTGTATACATTTTATCATTAAATTTTATTTTTTAATATTTTACATTATAAATTATATTTTTAACATTTTATCATACTTATTTGTATACATTTTATCATTAAATTTTATTTTTTAATATTTTACTAATACAATGTATTTCATTTTCATATTATAATATCTTTATAATTAATTCTTATGTATAAGATATTATTTATTTTAAAATTTTCATCCATCGTAATTTTATTTTATTTTTAAAAAATATCAGTGAATTAAGAAAAAAATAATATTTAAATTATTTTTTATCTTAATTGTTAAAGAATATAACATAAAAACATAACATGATGAAAGGATGATATGATAATAAAAATCTAAATTATTTTTATCTAGATTTTTTTGTCTGAGTATTGACCCAATCCTATATAATTGTTTTTATAATCATGATTTTGATACTCATATTTGATTTTAACAAAGAAATCAACCTGATTAATTTAAATGGAGGTTTTTTAGTTATGCTTTATATATAAAATTTAAATCTTGATTAAAATAACCCAAATTAATTTGTTATTGACATTTGATTTCAATAGAGAAATAAATAAAGCTATCTTAAATAAATAGAGTTTTTTAATTATAATTTTGTATTTATATAACCGAATTCAATAATGCTCTTATTTTAAAATGTTTGATGTATTATATATTTAAAATATTGATAAAAATATACAAGAATTAAACACGTGATGATAAAATATGAAAAGTATTTTATTTAAATAATGAAAATATGAAGAAAATGATTTTGAAATGTATAATTAAATAAGAGAGAAGGTATTTGTAGTGTGGGACCCAATGGGGTTGATGGCAATGAAGAGGAATTTGGCAAAGACATTGAAGACGGCGTAAAAAGCGAAAACCCTGAGTCACCTGTAGTCGAAGTCGGCATCACCTTTTTGCCCTTTTTTCATTGTGGGTCCCACTTTTCTTTCTCACGTCATCTCCATCCTTAGCCACTACATCTCTTGGCTCATTCATCTGCCATCTGTCACCACCCTAGCTTTCCACCCCTTTAGTTATTCTTAATAAATAGTAAAAGTTAGCAAATTTTTTTTTTTAAATTTAGGATCACTAAATTCTTTCTTTCATCATTGTTGAAAGCACAATATCTTTGATTAAGAATATAAGATTTAATAAAATATTTTATATAAGTTTCATTTTAAAGTGTTAGAGCATTGTTTATATAAAATATTTTATATAAGTTTCATTTTAAAGTGTTAGAGCATTGTTTATATGTTTATAAAATAATTAATTCTAACACTTAATGAATATCTTTGTGTCATAGATATTGTTCAAAAGTTTAGTAGATTAATCATATTATTTATAATGATAAATTAAAATAGTTTATCATTTAATAAGAAAGATCATTTATATATATATATATATATATATTATTTTTTTAATATACCAAAATCTCAAATAGTTTATAACTTGGTAATTAGTTAAAATTCTAAAACCGGATGATACATATGGTAATTAGTTAAAATTCTAAAACCGGATGATACATATGAAAAGTCTCATAAATTGTTAAATATAAACTTATATATATATATATATATATATATATATATATATATATATAATAAATTAGCTTAGGTTTTAAAATTTGTCCTAATTATTATTTTTTGTATTGTGTACGGTCCAGTTTTTTTTTTTTAATTTCGCGTGGTGACATTTTCCCAAAACATTAGAAAAAAAAGAGTTGAAAAAAGGACAAAACTTTTTCCTATGAATAAAAAGGCTTTCATTTTGTTTTTCCCAAGACGATGAAGTTGCAGACGGAGCGAAATGATTAGAAATTTACTTTTCTTAACATAATTATTTTACGTGTTTTTTTTTATCGTCACTTTAAATTTATTAAATTTTAAATTTTAATAGATGGTTTATGTATTATTTTTAGCATGAGTTCAGAGTTACCAGTAATAAATTGTTAAAAAATTAAATATTTATTTTAATTTTATCTTATTTTTAGTGTTAAAGTAATTTTTTAAATAAATTATTTTTTAACGTTCTTCAATTATTAAAAAAAAACAACACATTATTAATAATATATATATATAAGTATATATATATATATTAATAAATTAAATTAGGTTAACATCATACTACATACTTTATTAAATTGTTAAATATAATATTAACTTATTTTATAATAAAAATAAAAGTTAATAAAAAATAATATAATAAGATAAAATTTAAATTAAAAAAATTATATATTAAATTTTAAATAATAACAAAATAATGTTAAATTTATATTGAATCATTTTAAAAATCATATAAAAAAATATTTTTAAATAATTATAATAAAAATAATTAATATTGTATTATATTATATTATATTAAATAGAGAGAGACTTATTTTAAGAGTTAAAAATTTGTTATTTGTTTTTAACTTGATTTATTACTATTTAACTATATAAAATATGGACTTATCTTAATTGTTATATAACTAAATAATAATATTAGAAAATAAATCTAACTAATTTCTTTTTTATATATACTAAAATTTAACTATTAGACTATAATAATTTTAATTAAATATTAGAGAAATTATGTATCGATCTCAAAATTTATAATAACATGTATTAAATTAAAATTATTTAATAAAATTAAATTATACTAAATTATGTGATTGAATATAAAATCAATATCTAATTTAATTATACTTATATTTGATCGAGTAGTTTCAGTTTCAGATTTTTGACGAAAACAATTCTTAGTCCGTATCTTTGACAGAGTCAAATTAGTTTGAATTAAAAAAAATTAAAAATTTCCATTAGTTTAAATCTAAAGCTACGTGTAAAAAGTTAAAATTAATTTCACAGTTTATTTCATATTGAGATAAATTTATGTGTACAAGGTTGTAATTTACTTCACTTATGTGTTTTTCCTTATTTATTGTTTTAGTTTTAATTTAGTGTCTAACTTGCTCTTGTACGTTGTGTACTATAATGGGTAGTTTATTGATCAAATTACATTGAGAAATTGTGAAAAATATTAATATTTGTGAACTTAATCAAAACTAAATAATTGGCACAAAATATTGCTACGAATTAATTCAGTTTAAAAAATATATTTGAAATAACGGAACGATTTTTTGAAAGTGAAACGATTAAAGTAAAATAAAATAAAAGTAAGATGAAGAACAAGACTATGCTTTAGCAAAAATGTGTTTATAAGAAAGAAAAAAGAGCAAAAGAGAAAAAGAAGAAAGTTTAAAGGGACGGTCTTGTGTCGCTGATGCCTCATGTTCTTTGTGCTTTTTGCAGGGTGACTTTTCCTGAGGGTTTTGTAGGTTTTTTAGTGCAAAGTTTCACCTTGAAAAGTTCCGTGGAAACAGAAGCTGCTTTTTACTATCTCATTCTCTCTCTCTCTCTCTCTCTCTCTCTCTCTCTCTCTCTCTCTCTCTCTCTCCTGCTTTCTCTATTCTATCTATATCTATGTATCTTGGAGCTGCTGAGAAGCTTCACGGTATTCTTCTGGAACGACAACCACAACAACAACAGTAGCATAAATGAATAGTGAAGGGGACATGTCTAGTACGGATCCGGGTATTAGGCTCTTTGGCAGGAAGATTCCGTTGCCGGAATCTCAGATTCCGGCCAGTTCTCAGATGGGTTGTCAGATTCAGGCAAACTCTGCAACCATGGTACATACTTATAAGTCATACCCAATAACCATTTTTGTTGGACTGACAGTATTTATTTTATGGGTTTTTTATTATAGAAAAAAAGATCATTCCTTTTACTATATATGCAATAACTTGTTGCTAGAATTATGTACTAGCTTCAGAGCAGTGTGAAATGTGAAGAGTATTTATTCCTAAGAATTTTTCCTTTAAACACGCCAAGAGTATGTATTTGATGCACGTTCAGATTCATCGGAACAGAGGGCGGTCAATGGGGCATTTGGTGTAAACTTTTGGTTTTCTCAATCAATTTTGTGAATTAAGACCAAGGTTGGTGAAGTTGCTTGTGTGAGTAATTGGGGTTTAAAAGAAAATATGCCTAACATTTGGTTTATGTTGTATTGAGAGTGTAGTTATGTTTCGGATAACAAATAGGTTCTGCTACACTTCTCTGGTTCTTTTCTGATTTTGTTAAAGCGGGCCATACTGCTGAAAGAAACATATCGTTAACTTGTTTCATCTTTGTTGGAGCAATGGAGTTGATTATCAATCAATCAGTTGCTTTCCATCTTAAGACAAAAGCCGTTGATGAATGAAATGACTATTATCTTTGGCTTAATGTGGCTTCATTGTACTAGAATCTTTCACTTTTTTGCTTGTTCATTTTTTCCCTTATCAGCACGTCAGCAGTTTGCATAAAAATAAAAACTCTGTTTCCCTTTTTGAGCTTATGCATTCGTCTCCCCTAAGAGAAGAAAAAAGTTCACAACAATCAAATTCAAAAGTTTCTAGGTGCTCTTTCTGGTCAATTTTCATTAAATTTATGCAATTTATGCCGCTTACAGATGTCTTATTGTTATCAGTTCTAGTATGATTCTTTTTCTTGGATATGACATGGTTTGATGTGGGAGATAAACTAAAATTGAGACAGATTAGTAGCAAGCCATGGACAGGTTTACATGTATGATGAAGTAATAGGCTATTACTTGAGAATTGCTGCATTCTTAAATTGTTCATATTCTGTGGTATTTTATGTTTTTCAGTGGAAATAAATAACATGATAATTGTATTTGATTTTTGTTTCACGTCTATTCTTAATTCTGGTAAAATTTTGGTACATGGTTCTCTTAACCTGTCATTGATTATTGCTTTAAATTTCAGAATGCTTGCAGTGGCTTAAAGAAAACTGAAGTCGAAAAGCCCTATACTGAAAACACTGAGCAACCTGAGAATTATTCTGATTCAAGGGATAGCAAACAAGAGTCCCCACATAATAATGTGCAGGAAAAGGGGTCAAAAGTAAATAGCAAAACTGTGGAAGATAACACAGAGAGTAGCAGTACAGATCAAGATAAAATCTTCAAAAAACCAGACAAGATTCTTCATTGTCCCCGATGCAACAGTTTAGACACTAAATTCTGTTATTTCAATAACTACAATGTCAATCAACCTCGGCATTTCTGCAAGAACTGCCAAAGGTATTGGACAGCAGGGGGGACAATGAGAAATGTTCCTGTGGGTGCTGGGAGAAGAAAGAACAAACACCTAGCTTCTCAATACCGGCACATTATTGTAGCTTCTGATGGAATACCAACTACCAGGTTCGAACCTAACGAGTCTTATTGTCACCAACTTGTCTCAACTCTTGAACCTGCTGCTGTTTTCAGGTCATCAACAGATGATGGTACTGTATTGAAATTTGGTCCGGATGCCCCTCCTCTTTGTGAATCCATGGAGTCAATGCTTAATCTTAAAGAACAAAATCAAAGTGTTGATGAAAAACCTGTGAATTGTGCAGAAAATGGTGAGGAGGAAGTATCCATATGTGGATCATTTGTGACCAATGCTTGTACTCCAAGAAACAAATTGACACAACCTAATTCATCAAAACCTTTGCAGTGTTATCCTGTTCCTCCGTGGATATTCCCTTGGAATCCAGGTTGGAACAATGTTGCGTCCACTGCATCAGTTCAACCCTCCTCACTACACATGTGTAACCCGTATACAGACCCTGCTTCAATGCAGTTGTGTCCACCAGTGATGGCCGTTCCAACCATCTGCCCACCAAGCTTTCCCTTGCAATTTGTTCCTGGATCATACTGGGGTGGACCACCTGTGTGGGGTGCTGGAGCAGGAGCAGTTTCAATGGGTTTCAATGGCTGCCTTTCACCTACTTCCTCTACTAGTAACAGCTGTTGCTCAGGCAACGGCTCCCCTACACTTGGCAAACACACAAGAGAGAATGTTTCCACAGATGAGGAGAAATCAGACATGTGTGTTTTGGTTCCAAAGACCCTTAGAATTGATGATCCAAATGAGGCCTCAAAGTGTCCTACATTGCCTACATTAGGACTCAGGCCTGATAACCAACAATCTGTATCAGAAGGTACCATTTCAAAACGGGGAAAGCCTAAAGAAGGTAAAGACCGTGTGTTGGGTGTGTCTCAAATCTTGGAAGCCAACCCTGCAGCTATTTCTCGTGCTCATGCATTCCAAGAGGGCATGTAATGAGTTCCTAGCCTTCACTTCCCCTTCATAATCTTGTGCATATTGCTTGGTTCACATGCATAAAAGTTTATTTTGCAGGTAGCATTTTTAGCTTGTGTAGTCCATTTTGTAACATCTTTCTGTTGTACTTAAAATCTATTGTTGAGTTATGCTCTCTGAAATTGTTGATTCTTGGAGACGCTAGCTAGTGCAACAATAATACAGTGATCACTGCATCACTCATCATATATCGCAAGTTCAGTGATTGTTAGGTTTCTTATCCCGTGTTTGTAGCTCATACCCTGAACAAATTCTTAGGTTTCTTATCCCGTGTTTTATAATGAAGAAATTCTTAATTTCTCTGATGAATGTTGTACCAAATTAAAAATAAATAATCTTGTATTAGTGTTACCATCAATTTACGTGTCACGACATAATTCTTCTGTTTGACAAAGTAATCTTGGTTTTGGACGACACGGAAGAGTTGGTTTCTGAACTTGGTTTGATTCCCGATTTGGGAAAATAGTAATAGCTTTTGAAAAAAATTGTTGGGCCGAAAGAAGAGAAATAAAGTTAAAATAGTTATATATTACTTACAAGAACATAATATATACTTGATATTATTATATAAGAAGATATTTAAATAAGTATAAAAAATTTACTTTTCATTCTCAAATAATAACAGTCTAATATAAAATCTCAATTAAATTATTACACTAAAAAATAGTAAAAATGACAATAATTTTTTATTTTCCTCCGTGAATATATTATCTTATTATATAATAAGGAAGCTTATAAAATAAAATAAAATAAACATATATGTTAATTTTGAAATTTTTGTATTCTGTATTTATTTAGAAAGCAACCAGTTTTAATTGTTTATTTTACTTTCAATTATTATAATTGTTTTATTATTCTACCATTTATCGTAGGTTATATTTGAAAATATTTTTCAAACAGATTTAAAATAAAAGTAAAAATATTATAATTTTAAGTAGATATCTAATTTCCATCATGTTAATTAATATGATAGTTAAAAAGTAGTGTAATATTATCGTGGACAGTTTTAAGTAAATTATATTATATTATCTTGAAAATTATTGTCAAAATAATGAAATAAATATTGTGAAAAGTATAATAGTAAAATAAATAACGCAATATATAAATATAACAAATATTATTATCTATCATTATCAATACTTAATATAATAAAAAGTAAAAATAATTTTTTTTATATAAAAATAATTTGTTATCTATGAGTGGAAGAAGAGAAAAAAAACTAAAAGGAAAATTTAATAAATAGTTTAAAGGTTTAAAAAAAAAGAAGAAGGAAAAGTTAGCGCTTGAAGAACGCTACTTCAAGTAGTGTCTAAAAAACACTCCAAATAAGTGAAAAAAAGTTTGCCTATTAAACACTTCCTAATTGGGTGAAAAAAATTTGTTGGTTGAATTTCGAAAAATCTTGTAAATTAATTAGACTGGATAAAGTTGACTATACGATACATACATACTTATGAATTAATTTAAGAATTTAAACATAATTTTTTTTTTGTAAATGTAAATTTATAGATTATATTAGAGAAGCACTTTTTTCTAAATATTTTTATAAAAAACAATAAAATTAACGTCTCCCTAAATTAAAATTTACTTAATTTATTTTGTGGAAAATATTTGTATATAAACTAATTTTAATATTTTGAAAAGTTTTCATATATTTTTTAATTATTAAAATTGGAAAGGTGATTAATTCAGTCCAAAAACTTGGATGAAGATTATATCTGAATTATATATTATTATTTGGTTATATTTACAGCGAATGTGAGATATCAAGAACGTAGAATATAATATTAAGGAATAATTGATAAAATTAATATACTAATAAATCAGGATAAATTGATAAAAATTAATATACTAATAAATCTTGTTAAGATAAATTCTAATATTATATTAGAAATAAAAAATATATAATTAAATATTAAGAATAGATTAATAATAAGTAGAGTAATAGATAAACAAACATAATAAAAATAAAATATGATATTATATTAAAAATGAATAAAGTATAATTAAAGTCATTAAATATTATTGTTTTGGTAAGATTATTGCATATCATTTTAGAGGTTGAGGTGAAATGTAAGGACGGAAGGGTCCATCCCACTCACTCGCCTTAAAAGTTCAAACATAGTTTTTGCTTCAACACCTACAACTAGGGGTGTCAAAGTGAGCCAACCCGGCTCACACGGGTTGGCTCACCACGGGTTGAACTGAAAATAGATGAGTTCAACCCGACTCACTTTTTGGTGAGCCAGAAATTTTACAACCCGGCTCAACCCACCACGGGTTGGTGGGTTAGGTGGGTTGACTTACTAACCCATATTTTTTTTAAATAATATAAATAATATATATATATATATATATATATATATATATATATATTTCCAAACTTCGGATGTAGAAACTTTTGTTTTTTTCCTTTTTTCTCAACATCAGTATCTTCGTTATTAACCGAAATTGGTTCATTGGGTTTTTCATTAACAATAAAATCATCACCGACACAATTCACATTGACACTTTGATGCATTGTTTAGATTCCATACTGTAAATTAATTTGAAAGAAAGAAGTCAAAAATTCATATATTAAAGAGATATACGTATAAATCAATAACAAACAATAAATAATGTATAGATGCTACGATTGGATGCGGTGATGTAGTGATACGATGAAGATGAACATATGATAAGATAGTGCGGCGACAAACGTAGTGTTGCTGATAGGGTTTGACTTGTTGTGGCGACAACGACAATATAGGATAAAGATGAGGCAGGATAACATTTAGGGTTACTTGAAGTATTATAATTGTTTTTAAAATTTAAAATATAATTATTAATTAAGGTTAATATATATTATAATTATTTTTAAAATTTAAAATTAATGGTGGGTTGCAGGCCAACCCACCATAACTCGGCTCGAACCCGTTTAACCCGATGGGTTAAGTAAGCCGGGTTCATTTTTAGCCCATAATCGGTAGAAATAAAAAAATCCAACCCAATTCGACTCAACCTTGGTGAGCCGGGTTGGCTCATGGGTTAGAACCCATATTGACACCCCTACCTACAACTAAGATACCGTTAATGGAAAGAGTCGAAATAGCTACCCAGCAACCACGCTACCTAAAAGATTATGTGGTCATGTGTTCAACACCCCCCGTAAAAAGGGGAATTCGATTAGTAAAGAATAATTTCCTTTATTACTATTCTGCACATGATTAGTACTGCAAGACTTTTGGCCAAGTGCATATATAACACAATTTTGTAATAGAAAACAGGAGAATATAAAAAAAAAATATATATATTTCTTCTCTTAACATTATCTTATCTTTCTGTTATTTCTCTTTTTGCTCACTGCACCAACCTTACATTGGTGCTTTCATTCACCCTTACTCCATGGTAGAATCATCCTCTTCCCTTGATGAACTCACCAAATTAAACAAAAAACTTGAACACCTTCTACTCTCCCATGCCAACCTTTCCAACACCCTCCATGACATCGCCAACCGCACCATCATCTTGGAAACCCAACAACAGACAACCTATTTCCCCTCACCCACCTATCCCCTCAAATTTGACCTCCCCACCTTCAACGTCTTCGATGCTCTTGGTTGGATCTTGAAAGTCAACCAATTCTTTGAGTATCACCAAACACCAACCGACCAATGCATCCAGATCGTATCGTTTTACATGGAAGGTCAAGCCATAACTTGGTTCTAATGGATGTTTAAGAATAAATTGCTCTCCTCTTAGGACGCATTCCTACAAGCATTGGAATTGCATTTTGCCCCCTCTAAGTTCGATGACCCCATTGCAGCCATCTACAAGCTTACCCAAACACTAAGCCTACAAGAGTACCTCTCAGAATTCGAAACTTTGGCCAACCGTATCTCCGACTACCCTTCTAGTTTTTACCTTAGTTGTTTCCTCTCTGGCCTTAAACCCTCTCTCCACTGTGAGGTCACCGCCCTCCAACCTCCTGGTTCTCCAAGTTGGACCTCTTTTTGGGTTTTTATCAAATACTCATGGTGCCTACTGATTCTGAGAAAACCACATTTCAAACTCACAATGACCATTTTGAGTTTTGAGTAATGTCATTTGGTTTATGTAATGCACCCTCCACATTTCAAATTACTATGAATGATTTATTTTGTCCTCATTTACACCGATTCATCATAATGTTCTTCGATGACATTCTTATATACAACCTCACTTTATCTGAGCATGTCAACCATTTGGAGACCACTTTCCAGTTATTGCTTTCTAACTGTTTCAGACTCAAGGGGGGTAAATGTTTTATTGGGCTCCAATCCATCCAGTATTTGGGGCATATGGTTTCTACTGAGGGTGTTCACCCAGACCCTGAAAAACTTGTTGCGATTAGGAATTGGCCTGTCCCTACCACAATCAAGTCCCTACGTGGTTTCCTTGGTCTTACAGGTTTTTACCGCCGATTCGTTTCAGGTTATGCTTCACTTGCTCAACCTCTCACTGATCTCCTCAAGAAAAATAATTTTCGGTGGAATGATACAACTTTGAGGCCTTTATTCAACTAAAGAATGCGTTATTGGTTGCACTTGTGTTGGCTATTTCCAAATTTGACTCTCTATTCATTGTTCAAACAAACGCTTCAGGAACAAGCATGAGAGCAATTCTCTCACAATCGGGTCATCCAATTGCTTATTTTAGTAAACAATTTTGTCCTAAACTCCGCAATTCCTCCACGTATATACGTGAATTGTGGGCCATAATGACTACTCTCCAGAAATGGCGACAATACATCTTGGGTCGCCATTTTGTCATCCAAACAGATCAACAATCCATTAAGGAATTGATATCTCAAACAATCCTCACACCGGAGCAGCAAACATATCTTTTCAAATTGCTGGGCTTTGACTTTGAAATTCAATATCGACCCGGCAAGAGCAATGTCGTAGCTGATGCTCTATCTTGACTCGACGATCCCCTTACTACAATCACAAACTCTCTGATGGTGTTGTCCATCCCACACTCAAATTTCTTGTCAGACCTCAAATCCTCCTTACTGTTAGTGAGTAACGTGGTTACCTATATTTAGGAGCGTGATATGCGCATAGGTAGTTTTTCAATTTTCTGATGTAAGGCTACAAATATTGGCCAGTTTTATGATTCAAGGAGCGAATAAACATTTTGTTCTTTCTGCATTTTATTCTCTATATTCTCGAGAGTCCAACATTATGGTATGAGAGCTCCATCACGGGGCCTGATCCATATTAGAAGCCGCAACATTCTAAAGCATTACACATGGCATCGGAAAGTTCGTTTGTGCAGCCTGCTATACCGAAGTTCGATGGGCATTACGATCATTGGGCTATGCTCATAGAAAATTTTTTACGTTCAAAGGAGTACTGGAGTTTGGTGCAAAATGGCATTCCTGCATCAACAGAAGGAACACCTCTCTCAGACGCACAGAGGAAACACATTGATGATCTTCAATTAAAGGATTTGAAGGCCAAGAACTATCTATTTCAAGCATTAGATCGTTCAGTCTTGGAGACAATTCTTAATAAGGATACAGCAAAGGATATATGGGACTCCTTGAAACAGAAATACCATGGTACTTCACGGGTCAAGCGGGCCCAGTTACAAGCTCTCCGCAGAGAATTTGAAAGTCTGCACATGAAAGAAGGAGAATCAGTCAATGATTATTTTGCTCGAACGCTTACTATTGCCAACAAGATGAAGGCCAATGGTGAAAACAAAGGTGATGTTGCTGTTGTTGAGAAAATTTTGCGATCCATGACTTCCAAATTTGATTATGTTGTATGCTCCATTGAAGAGTCTAAGGATACTGACAACCTGACTATTGATGAATTACAAAGTAGCCTCCTTGTCCATGAGCTTCGCATGACATCTCATGTGACAGAAGAGCAGGCCCTACATATTGCTCATATTGATCACCACACAGAACAGGGACGCGGTCGTGGCGGTCGTGGAGGCCCTGGACGTCGAGGGAGAGGACAAGGCCGAGGACGTGGGAGACAAGGCTTTTGACAAATCAACTGTGGAGTGCTACACGTGCCATCAACTTGGACATTTCAGTTGGGAATGTTCAAGTCAACAAAGAGAGGCCAACTATGTAGAGAATGACGAAGAAATGCTATTAATGGTCCACACAGATATAACTAAGGCAAACAACGACATTATGTGGTTCCTTGACTCTGGATGCAGCAATCATATGTGCGGGAAGAAGGAATATTTTTCAACTCTTGATGAAAATTACAAAGATTCAGTCAAGCTGGGCAACAATTCTAGTTTGGCTGTAGCAGGCAAAGGCAATGTTCGAATACACATAAATGGTAACACTTATACTATTTCTGATGTCTTTTTTGTGCCAGATTTAAGGAACAACTTACTTAGTATTGGGAAACTAAGAAAAAGGTCTTAGTATTCTTTTTCAGCATGGCAAGTGCAAAGTGTTTCATCCTGATAATGGCTTAATTATGGAAACCAGAATGTCTTCCAATCGCATGTTTATGTTGCATGCAACCTCTCCACCTATCAAATCAACTTGTTTCCACACAGTTTCAGAGGATATAATGCATCTTTGGCATTGTAGATATGGACATTTGAATTTTCGGGGTCTAAATACGTTATATCAGCAGAATATGGTACATGGTTTGCCAATGATGAAAGCACATACGAAAATATGCAAGGATTGTTTGGTTGGGAAGCAATCACGAGATTCTTTTCCAAAGAAAAGCACTTGGAGAGCTACACAGGTCTTGCAACTAATTCATGCGAGATATTTGTGGACCAATCACACCTATCTCTCACAGTAAAAAAGGTATTTGCTCACCTTCATTGATGATTTTAGTAGGAAAACTTGGATTTATTTCTTGACTCGAAAAATCGAAGCTCTTTCTATCTTTACGACTTTTAAAAGCCATGTTGAAAAAGAAGCCGACTCATTAATCGGATGTCTGCGTGATCGATCGTGGGGGAGAGTTTACCTCTCAAGCCTTCACCGATTTTTGCTCTAACAATGGTATTCGTAGGCGGTGACGGCTGCATACACTCCACAACAAAACGGGATTGCAGAA